GGGTAGTATTCTGGGACCATTGCTATTTGCAATCTTTATCTCGGACCTGCCCTCTGTTCTCTCCTACATGAACTACATGCTTTACGCCGACGACACGCAGGTCTATCTTCACTGTCATCCCGGCAGTCTTGCGGAGGCTTTGGGGAGGGTGCAGCTTGATGTGCAGGCTATAGCGGATTGGGCACTAGGAAACAGTATCTCCCTTAACCTCACCAAGACCAAGGTCATGATACTGGGCAGCGAACAGTACGTTAGGGCTATCAACTTGTATGACATCGTGAAGATCACCATCAACGAGGTTCCACTCGACTATGTTATTAGTGCTCGTAATCTGGGTGTGACACTTACTCCCACGTTAAACTGGTCCGAACATGTGAGAAGCGTGACGAGGAGGGCATACAGCTGTCTGGCTTCACTCCGTTTCCACAGGAAATCTCTCTCGACTACCCTCAGAAAAGTTCTCGTCGAGCAACTCGTTTTCCCACATTTCGATTACCTCTCAGTGGTTTGTATTCAGCTTGATGGAGAGCGCTCGTCTAAGCTTCAAGTTGCACAAAACGCCTGCGTACGCTTCGTAATAGGATGGATCCCTTTTATACCCTCTCTATCCTTAAACAGCCACATTACGCACCATAGACTAGCCCTGGGCTGGCTATCCCTTACCTCAAATAGGTATAGAGCCCTTGTCGTTCTGGCCTACTCTGTTGTGTCCAGAAAATCGCCGCACTACCTGGCTAGAAACCTGTCTGTCCTGCTCGATGGCGTCATTATTCGGCGCTCGGGTCGCCGCCCGCCGTCGGCGTTTGAATACAAGGCCCCTCGAACTGAGGCATGGAACCATTCCTTTGCTATCCTTGCTCAGAGAATACTAAACTCACTGAGCGTGACCCTGTTCTCCATCGATCGGATCCCTGACTTCAAGGTTTGGACCCGTGATCTATTCTTAAAGTACGAGGCTGGAGCATGGATTGAGAGGGCGACTCGCGAAAAGTTAATGCCAGTGCCGGCACTGTCCGATTACACTCGCATACCAAACAGAGTCAATCCAGTCGCGTTCTCCCAAAATTATCCATCGTCCCACACTTACCCCGCTATCGACCTATGGTTCATGAAATAGCTAATTTAACGGTTATTTTCTGGCCAAACGCACGTCGATCCACCTTTATACCTCTCCTCTTTTCAGACCGCCCTTCTGTAAAACAAGTGCCATTCGCGTCTTTATTTTAATATTATTTTTCATCTTTTATTATTGTTAATTTTGTTGTTTTATCTGATAAGTCATTTACATTGTTCTTTATATATTTTATTTTACTATATTTTACATATTTTATTCTATTTTTAGTTTTATATATAAACTCTTAGTGTTTATTGTGAACACCATTGGAAATTCGCTGTTCACCGTATATACTACTCACGCATTTTCACGTAATTCATCTTCTTCATATAGTTAAATGCGTTACTATTCATCCTTGCATCTCCTCTTTTGTTATATTTAAATTTTGTTATTATTTTGTTATGTACATTTACAAACTGCCAGACGGGGTTCCACCTCATTGGCGCAATAAACGAACTAATCTAATCTAATCTAATCTCTCTCCCTTGATAAAGAGAGAAACCTGAAGAATGAAGACCTGAAAGAATGCTAAAACAAAAGACTGGCATCAGGTACGAAACATACGTGCGCCAGATGCCCGCTATGAGCCCTTACCGATGTCGGAGAGAGAGAAGGGACGCACGCTGTAGGCCATGACCAACCTACACCGTTACATATATTTTGTGAATTCTGGACGTAACAAAGATTAATCTAAGCATTTTTTCAATTCTTACATTTGACGGTAACATTAAAAATATGAAAAATAATATTTAAAGATATCTGCAAGACTTGCTGGTGCACAAAAAATCTAATGTTTCTAGCTAGATCGATTAATGCCCAATACCCAGAATACGACATTTGTCTCAAAAGTATCGAGCCTACCTTCATATTTCCGCGTCGAAATTTAACCACACACGTGCTTTGAGAGGTCACACGATCACTAAAGAATACTACGTTGAAGTATTGAAAAGATTGTGTGACGTAGTCAGAAGAAAACGGCCACAGCTTTGGTAAAGTGGTGATTGGCTGCTTCACCACCATAATGCACCAGTGCATTTATCGTACCTTGAGCAGCAATATTTAACAAAGCATCAAGTCGTTCAGCTTCGCCACTTCCGATTTGATGACAAAGAGACGGTTGAAACGAATGTGACGAATATACTAAAGGCAATTCCGAAAACTGACTTCGAGGACTGCTTTAGGAAGTGGGAACACCGTTGGAAACATGTTACTCAATGAAATGGGGATTACTTTGAAGGATGTCACTAACCAGATGATAAAAAATAACCCCAATGCGGAAATATAAAGGTAGACTCGATACTTTTGGGACAAACCTCGTACTTCTATCTTTCAACATCGGCAAAAATTTTGTAAGTTTCATTCAATTTTATTTTTGATGTTTTCAATGTTGCTGACAAACATAATTATAAAAGTTAATAATTATGGCCAGAGCTGGGAAAGGTTTTATTCACCCTCTAAATAATGATATTTGTGTTTTCTCAATTCATTGATTATCATGACTGGATTCAATTGGTTCTTGAATTTGTTTTTCTCTAAGAACATATTCAAGTTCCATGGCACTTTGAGAACATTTGAAATATGGTGACTTAAGGATGATCAATGGTTAATCGAAAGTTAACAGACCTGTTTCTATTTTTAATATATTGAACTGAACAGTACGAATACCAGGATGAATTTTTTCAATATTTCTTTCCAAGTGAATTTCAATGAAAATTAATTCGCAAGTTACACTTTTATATATATAGAACCACAACAATTGAAGATTTTAACAAAAAAAGTGAGAAGAGGTTTTTTTTGTTATGACATAGATATGAAAATTTACTCAAATAAAGATAATCGGAGCAAGGATACTCGTTTTTCACCCAAAATTTCAGGTTTTTCACGAAATAAAATTGTTTATTATTCATTCATACAAATTTAGCGTGTATTAATATAAATTATAATAAATAAGAAAAACAACTAGGCGTAGGGCTCAAAGAGTGAAAAGATAAAGAGAGGAAGAAAGAGAAAGAGAGAGAGATTATGAGCAACGGCCATCACGACTGAGTAGTGAAAGAAGAGGCGATGCAAGAGAGCAAGTGAAGTCAATTTTTGGTCAATCTTGGAACAAGTAATATGTCCTAGCGATTAGAACTATTTATGGCAGAAGCACGAAAACGATAGAATACGCGCAGGCGATTCCAGGTGAAATTCATTATGAATTTTGATAGGCGAGGCTAACCTAGTGTGTCACAGGCGAATAGCGAGTAGAGAAAAGACAGAAGAACTATAGTATGATATATCTGATGGATGAAAGTACTGAACGAGCTAAAAAAGTTGTAAGTCGCTGAATTATAGAAAGAAGTGCAGTTTAAAACTAATAAGTAAATAAAATAAAAATAACAAATAAAATAAATAACAGTATTAATAAATAATACAGTATTAATAAGTAATATTAATAAATCAGTAATGAATTAATTAAATAGCAAATTAACTAACTTCAACAAATAAATTAAATAAGATCACAAAGCAACTATCTGGATTGTTTATTTTTTCCGTGAAGTCAAGCTGCAGTGAAAGCTTAATTGTAGATCTTATAGAGTGAACTAATGTTAGGTTACGTTAGGTTAGGTTTAATGATGCTCAACACTGTTCACTATTCAGTTCTATTTAGTTCTTGACGATAATAGGCGAAGATCACACTATTCAATCTTCTTAAGGATGAAATACAACTGATCATACTCATGCAGGCTTCAGAAATCCGCATCATAGAAGACTCGAGGAGGAGGGTGATTTTTCAGTCATCCGAATGAACTCCAGTCATACAGGTCATCACAGGCATGAAGATCCTGTCTTTTGAAGCAGGTCAATGGTTGGAGCAGTTCAAACAACAAAATGGATTGACCGGTGGAACAACTTTTATAATGGATAGTTTCATTGCTAGTTTTCCTCTGTCCAAGGCCCCTGCTATAGGTGAAGAACAAAAATCACTTAAGATGAGAGCACCCGGGTGATGGCACATAATCAACTGCGTCAAGCAATCATGTCACAGGGATGTTGTTAAACTTTCAACTCCCTGTTAATATTTGTACAGAATTTCAAAAATAACACAAGACCAATCTTGGTCAACGTGGCGAATAACTGACTGAAAATATTCTCTGCATTTCGAGATTACGTCACTAACATTTGAAAAACAACCAGCAGCTAAGTAATAAGAACACGGCAAGAGTCTAGAAAAGTTTTGAATTGTTGACATTAACAGTACAGAAAATAACAACTGTTGCAGTCAACAATGAGCACAGCAAACACTTTTCGCCACCGCAGGTGATTTTAAAGAGCTGGAACAAGTAAGTAAGACGAAGAAAGAGAAAAAAATTAATAAGGCAAAATAGCAAAGCAACCTCTCCCAGACCAGAGAGGGAATTGTAAGGCAAGTATAATAGAAAATTATTCGAAATTCACGATGCTCTAGCTTACTATGAACTTTGATCGACACTTACATTTCGTGTGTATAACAGATAGTTGAGCCAATCAATAGCAAGCAATTAAAGTAATAACTGTGATCGTAATTGAATTTAAACTTGCAAATAGCAAGTTCGTAGTGCAATGTGTGCGACTAAACTTTAAATGCGGAAAAATTTGAGAATTAAAGATTATTATAAGCCAAATTCCAGTTTTAGATGCACTGAATGTACAATCGCCCATTGTCGCCATTGCAGAGTACTGTTTCACCTCCCCAATCCCATCCCGTATAAAAACTTGTTAAAATGAACTCTGGATTAAGACCCATCACATGGCTCATAAGGATAATTTATTTTAATAATATCGGCGATTATGTTAAAACTTTTTGAATTAAAATACAAACATATAAAGTGTACCTCAAGATTTGAAATATTTATAAAATTACCTTGTTCAGCAGTGCCAGGCAATGACTGTAGTATAATCAGAATCAAAATAACTAAAGGTGCCGTGAAAAACAGGTTAGCGAAGTGATCTGCGGCCGCGCAGTGGGCATACTTATTCATAGAGAAATTAGCCATGCTCTCTACTGCCAACTGCTGATAGCAAATACTACTGCTATCTGCAGGCTAGTTAATTGTCCAAAGCTCGAGTCGGGAGTTAGAGTCGAGGCCAAGGAGCTTAGTCCGGCAGCAGCTACATGCTTGCATTGCCGGCTCACGCTCCACCAACCTCGACCCTGACTCCGACGCCCACTCCGCCTTCGCCACTCCAGCCTTTTTCTTTTATGTCGCTTGTTCAGGCTTTTGACAATTCCTGTAATTAATACCATACAATTTTTATTTATTCATGGTATCTGATTTATGATTAAATGAAGTCTAATTATTTTTAATTTATAATTATTTACTTGCATTAAAAAAATTGAAATATGCATACAGGTACAAATAGTTCTGGAGAATTTAAAAATGAAATGAATTCCTAGTAACAGTATTAATACATTCTACATTTGTTTTTATTCATCCTTGTTGAGATAATTTGAGGTCCTTGGAACAATTTATATGAATCAATTATCATAATAGGTTTCTATATAATTGCAAATATATAACAATCAGATTATAATTGGATTATTTATTAAGTGTTGCAATTTCATGATTCGAATAAACTAAGATATGATACTACTTATTTTAATAACTTTTTTTATACTGGTACTTTTCTGTTTGTATAAGACAAGTAAATAGATAATACATATAGAACGGTCATCAAGAAAAATTGTTGAATTCAAACGATTGTAAATTCATTAATACCAGGAAAGAAATTCTATAAAAAAGTCTAGGCATTCATAATATATGAGAAACCAATGGATTAATATTGAAGCTATTTCAGAAGATAAAAAAGCTAAACAATGTATATTATACCAACTATATCTGTACAAGTACATTTCATTTTCATGAAATATTTTGATTTATATATTTTACATGTACGTTGTCTATATGTGGTTCTTTACGGAATGAGACTTCTTATAGGATATTTTTTATAAGGTAAGGTTAAATTGTTATTATTACTATTATCAAAATTAACACTAATCATACCAACACTTATTAGATACCTAGTTTACCATAGCGGGTCAAAACCCGAAATTTACGTTTCCTACTTTTATGTATGAAATATGGATGTTGGAAAGGAAATAAAAATATAATGATAATAAAATATGTATTATAATTATATGAAATAGTATTTTTACTAATTATATGAAATAGTATTTTTACAATTTCTATTTCAAACGCAAAAAATAAGAGTTGTTTTTATACATCACATTTTTTACACTTAAGTGTTTCCGTCGCACATTTCCCGCAAACAAATATTTTACAATTGGAGCAAATTTTATTAGTTTTATTTTCTTTGCAGTATCCTATTTGACACCTCTTACGTTTATTAGAATCTGTAACAGGGTTAGGCAACGATCGTTTAGTATTTGCTTTTTCTTTTGGTTGTTCACGGGCAACTCGAAAATCGTGGGCAAGTTCTACTGCTAGCTTGAGTAAAAAATCTTGTCTCGAGATATTATCTCCTGTCGTTTGCTTGTATAAAATCTAGGCATTTATACCAGCTAAATGAAAAATATTAAAAAAAACTTGGAGTGGCCATCTGCAAGACTTAGACTTTGTAGTAAATTTCCTCGCCATTTGATCGGTCATGTCTACACCAAATTTGGTTTTATTGTAATATGAAACAGTTTCAGGTAAACGCTTATCATTATTTTCTATTGATACAAATTTATGTTTAGAACTAAGTAAAAGTACCTTTTTATTTGGCTTGCTTTTATAAATTGTAAGAGTACAATTATCAGAAGTAAAAATTTTCGAAGAAAATCTTGCCATGTCATCTTTCTTTTGCTTTGTAATTAGTGGCAGATCCCTTTTGTTTGAGCGAATGGTTCCAACTAGGGTAGTTCTTTTTGCTAGAAGTTGTATGGCTAGTGATTTGCTTGTGAAGAAGTTGTCTGTGGTCATAGTTCTTCCGCAACCCGTAAATGGCTTGATCATGAGTACAACATATTCAGAGAGTTGTACTGAAGAGGGTCTATTTTCATCTTTTCCTAGATATGGAAATACATTTATAACGTATTTGCTATCGACGTCCGATGCTAACCAAAATTTGATTCCAAATTTATCCGGCTTGTTAGGCATGTATTGCGTAAATCTACATCGTACTTTAGTCGGAAATAGCTGTTCATCTATAGTAATATTACCACCCGGTTTGTAACAGTTTTGGCTGTTCTCAATGAAAATATTCCAAATCGTGGATACTATAGTAAATTTATCTGCTTTCAAACGTTCACTTCGCTGACTTTTTTAATTAAAACGAATAAATCTAAGAATTTCGGTAAAATTATTTCTGCTCATAGTTTCAGAAAAAAATTTGGGCCCCCATATATTATTCCACAAAAAAGAAAGTTTCAAATTATTTGCTCCATATGCAGCTCGTGCATATAAAATTGCAATAAATGCAGCAAGTTTTTCTTGAAATAAACTCCAATCGGATCCTAATACAATGTTTACTTCTTCTATTGTGCATGTTCTTATATGGTTCATAATGCGGTGGTCAATTATCAATGAAAATGCAGTACTAACTTTACCTTTCATTATACGACGTTTAGCATATCCTGTTGGGCCTACTTCTTGTCTGAAAATGTTATGAAGTGGTGGTCTTCCAGGTGTGCCACCTATTTATATTTCTTTCCAAACAGATCCATCAATTGCAACATGTTGTTCATTTATTTCTGCTTCACTTTCTTCAGAACTTGAGAGTAATCTTCTTCTTTTTCGTCCACAACCGATATTCACAATATTTTCCTCTTCATTGTCAGTATCTGTAGATTCAGACTCATTTTCGTTTGTAACCAATATATCTTCGTTTTCAGAAAATTCATCTTCACCGATTTCCGAAAACTCTTCTCAATATTATTTATATCTTCTAAGAATTTGGACTGTCTCGTTCGTTTCGATATTTTATGGGTAAATAGTTACCTGTATCACTAATAAAGCTATAAAAATAAAATAAAAACTATGTACCAAACTTTTCTTTTTTGCTACCTTTTTTACACAAAAATCTAGTTTCAATCTAAAATTTTTATATTTTCTTGAATTATTCTCAGCTATTTTGATTTAACTACTTTACGTAACAGTCTTTGCATACATTTGCAGTTTACTGAATACAATAAGATAAGCAATATGTATTGATAAGCTTATAAAACAAAAAAAATGTTCTCCGGGTCAAATGACCCGATGTGGTAGACAACGGTATACGACAGTTATTACTCAAAAGAAACAAAACAAAAAATTATAAAAATAGTATAAGAACAGTAGACTTAATTAGTCAGAAAAAGTCAGTAAGTTAAATTTGGAGAAGTAATAAGATAATACGTGCATTATCAATGCAAAAGTTTAAAATGGGTCATTTGACCCGTTATGGTATGATTAGTCTTAAATATGCTAGTATGCATGAACCAATAAAAATAAATATTATTAGCTTCATTGTCACTTTAAATTCTTCATTTTTTTCTAAGCATTATAAGGATTGGAAACTATTTTTATATCGATGAAAATTTATTTTTTACGAGAAAAGAAGTAGGAATATTTTATAATGTTATAATTATCGTTATATGAAAACACCGACGTAAAAAAAATGTTAATTTAATGGGAAATTTTTTTTTTATTTACTCCAGAGTTTATTTACAATCTGTCTCACATTTATAAGACAATAAGTAAATTTTATTACTAAACTGTGTAATTTCTTTTATAGTTTGCATACGTTACTTCTTTTATTTTTTCTTTTTTTAGACACTCGCTAGTTGCGTGATATTTTGCACATTTCACACAAACTGCGCTTTTCAAAACAATACTTTTTAGTGTCTCCGAATTCTTGGTAGTTATAACATTGTGGTATGTCTCTTTTGATATGTGGTGGTTCAAATTTCACTACTGTGTTTAGTAGTCTGCTAATTTTATAAATTTCCTAGTTCTTATAGTCGTATTCTATTTCGACAGTGAAAAAAGCTAACGGTGTTTTTGTAATCTGATGGCATATGTTTCTGATATTAACTACTTTATACCTATGTGCTTCGATGGCGTTTGTTAATTTCTCCGTATCAACTCAAGATCATCTTAAGCCCTTTTCCTTTTTTGCGCTGATAAGCGTAAAACTGAGTATTTTTTTTAGTCTGCTGACTATCGGCAAATACTTTTCTGAAATTGTGGGTTGAATTTTAAGTTTGTTTTTCGCTAGTACTTTCAGGATATAGCTATTTTTAGCTATATTATTTAGTAAGTTTTCTAGGTTTTATAGCGGACGAATGTTTTCCACGTTGTACACGTTTTAGGGGTGGTTTGTGTTTTTTTTTAAATTACTGTTGCTTCGTTACCGTCAGTATCTTTTTTATCTTGTAAAATGTCAAATTTGTTAGTGTTCTAGATTAACCAATAGTCGAATAGATGTGCTTGCTGTTGTTTTTTCTTTTGATCTAAATTATCTGGGCTACTTCTCTACCTTTTACCACTAACTATTTTCCACTTCTCAGTGTTGTTTTGTATGGAGGTAGATAATACTTCTCCTGTCAGAGTGTCCATTTTGGCCATTACTATTTCTTTAATTTACTATGCGGTTTGAATTTTAATTTCAACTTGATTGGCTATCACTTAGCTATGCAAGTAGAGCGTTTAACAGGTACGTCTGCACTCCTCAAAGATCAAACGTTGACTTTTTAATGGAAAAAGCCGTATTTTTACAAAGAAAGATTGCAGAGGAAAGCTCACAGTTATTAGAAAGAGGACTTATCTATTGCAGCCGAAAAATAGAAGTGCTAAAGCTCGTGGTTGACGCGCAACGGGAAGTCTCTAACCTCTTACCTATCTCTCCCCTCGATTTCTATTTCCGGGTTCACTACCCTCATCGCATCTTAGCAGCTCATATCGGTTCTTTGGTCACACCTGCTGTCTTCTCGTTGACTTTCTTGCCGCTATTCTCCATCTCGCTCTCACTCGCCCTTATTAGATAGCCGGACCAAAGGTTAGCCGTAAGCCTTCCATTCCGTGGATTTTACCCGCTAAACACAGAAATCATGAGCTTTCTATGGGGCTACTATCCTCCAAGAGCTTAGAACTAGAGCTGACAGTCTCACGATGATACGTGTGGGGCGTACGTCCACATTAATGGATAGAGCTTGAATGCGAGGTTGCTGTGCTAATCTCGTTTCAATGCGCGATGGATCAGTGTTTTGCAATAGTCGCTGAACATAAACGTTCGGATAAGTATAAATC